GTGATCCATGTATTTATATATTAGAATCACTCCCTTTGCCGCCCTCATAAGACAGTAAATCTAAAATGAACGTATAAAATTTCTAAGAGGAACAGGTGTGCTATTTATCATGCCGTGAACCTCTTTCTGGTCAGACTTTTCTCACATCTTCCTCATCAAAAGGAATCTCTTCCATCTTAACAAAGCTTTAAAAATATCTCTAACTTTTTCAATTATTCTGTGATACATGAAGATAGTTCCTTATCTGTGAGCAGATGACTGTGATCATTTCATTTGTTTAGTCTCCCAAAATCCAATGATATGGTTCAGAATAGAAGCAGCTATCCTTTTCTTTATTCAGACATATCAGAAGAATAAAAAGCGATGTAACTGTCAATATAATAAGATGTTTAATTTCACCTGACAATTAAGTGGAAGTTTTGTCAAAATAATCCATAGGATCCTGGAGTGTGATTCTAATGATGTCTACCCTCTTCTCTCCTGCCAGTATTTTTTCAAAAGAATTCACATTCAGTAGCATGTTACCAGTTGCAAAAGATGTGTTTCGGAAAAAAATATGGCTTGTGCTGAAAGGTAAAATTTACATCCAAAATGTCGCTTTTCCAACAAACAGTTCATGTACTACCGAGTGTGTCTAATATCCAAGCTGTGAATAGTTTAGAAAAGCAAAGAGGAAAGAGCAGTCTTCCAATTATCTGAATCTATTTACTAAGGGGGAAACAGTAGCGTTTGCCATGGGAAGCCATGCCCCAAAGAACTAATTACTAGATAAAACTGGGTAAAATGGTCTTCAGTGCTTTTCTGTGCATGAAAACACTTAAATCAGAACAATACACAGTAGAGATAATAAGGACAATGCTGCCCAGAGCATATCATTCTTATGTTTTATTACAACCATTTACAGTAAAAAAATGAAAATAAAATACAGGACGAACTCTTCCAGTCTCACAGTTTGAAGTACAACATCAATGACTCAGCAACATTAATGAAACCATCTCTCTACTAAATGACCAGAAGTTATACCAGTAGATTATAACAATCAAGTGTGTAGTCTTCAAGATTGCTCTTTCTTCACCTTCACCCAATGAACATTTCCTGAACACCTGCGCTAGGGGTGGCTTTGTACTGCAGACTGGGAAAGCCTATGGAGAAATTTAACTTCTTATCGAGTAGAGCAGACATACATGTAAATAAGTTAAAACAATGATTTCTTACAATGCTAAAATAGACAGTCTATTAAAAGCCTGCATCTAACTTAATTCTTCATTCCTAAGTAACACTCTGTACAAAGAAAGTAAGTGAGCCCGGTGATGATGAATTTGTAAGGTGCTTTTTACTTTTTCAAAAATTCTTTCACCGATCTAATGACATTTTATTTTCAGAACAACTCTGTCCTATATGCAGAGTTGCATTTTCCTTCTTTTACCAAAGACCAAATCAATACCGAACGAATATCACAACTTTTCTCTCCTTTTTAAAAGCAGAAGATAGCAACCCTGTTTACATGCTGAAATCCTATCATTTGATTTCACTCTTCCTGCATGTGAACTTTTAATGAGTTATTAATAGTACTAAAAAGGAAATCTCTTACCCACTATACACAAAGTACAGTCTGATAGGAAAATACTGCATTCTATCAACTGTTGTCAAGAGAAATAATGATGCTTATTATTTTTTCTATCAATACCTGCCAAGAGTATCTGCTACAGCAGAAAACAGACACACTATGAAGTTTGAAAGAATGGAGCCAATGCTTGTACAAGAGAACAGAAACTGTTGCCTCGTCAAGAAAACTGCAGAATTCAAACTACTCACATTTTATCAGCTGTATTACAAGTATGACAACCACAGCTTTACTGTGCATCTACATTAGACAAAAAATTACATCACTTTCTTTGTAGCTCTTATGTAGTAAATGCCCAATAGATGTTTGGGAAGGATTTGGATGAGAAAAGAAAAGGAGAAAAATCTTATCAATAGGTCATGACCTCTACTTTGCCAAAAATCAAAAAACAAATAAAGCACACCCACACACAATAGTTACACAAAAATGACACGTTTGCTATTTGAGAGATAGCCTCACCTGACGTTTTGAAAACTCTGTACTTTTAACCAATGCTACGTGACATAACTCTAAGCATCTGCTCAAGGACTTTGAAGAAAAGCAGTTATTTAAGATAGAGACATCACTCTGAGATGCAATCTTGATGACTTTCTGAAACTGCAAATACTTTACATAGTTAAGGACTTCAACGTTAAAGAGTCATCTGTGGGTTCAGGTACCCATCAAGTAATGAATGACAGTTAAATGGGAAGGAAAATTTGTGAATTAAATGAGGAGGTAATATGTAAAACACTCAATGAGTTCTATTCACTGATGGCTTCACTCAAAGCAGAAATACACAAAAGGCCAGGTCCACGATCCAGACGCTGCAGATCCTTCAACCTTTGCACTCCACATACCAAAGTGATTTGTCACTGCTGTGTGCCTGGAGAATGCCAGCCATTCCAATGAATCCATCAAAGACTGTCCCACCCTCATGCTCTTTCTGGCAGGGGAGCCCTAACCCAATACACTAAACAAAGAGGCTAGAGCGAGCCCCTGGACCAGGACGACATCATCTGCCCCTTACATGGGAATCTGCTCCCCAAATGAATACAAACTCTGCTTAAGCAGAACGAAGAAGTTACACAAGATGCTCAATCAATCTGTTGGTAGTGCAACAGAAAACAAAAGACATGCAGACAGAAAATGCTTTACATATGTTAGGAGGCAGGAGAAGTCATGAGAAATAATGAGTGATCAGAAACTGACCCAGAGTAACCAAGTGGAGAAACATGAACTAAGAGAAAGTGCTTTTAGCAACAGAAAAAGCAAAACAAGAAGGAGCTGTATAATCCAATACCTTAGAGAAGAAACTTTGGCACTAGGGGGCAGAGAGAATCTGTTCAGAGAGCTGCACTGGCTGCTTTTGCTTTCTGAATCTCAGCCCCTTTTCTGAGTTCTCGTGAAGGCTGGACTGCTGGCTGGAACTCTTATGTGCTTCAGTTTGAACTTAGTCTTGCTGAGGAAACTAGAGTGAGTCTTTTTCCTTGCAACCAAAAGAACTTAACACCCTCTCTTCTAAAAACGACAGCAAAAACTTCAGCATATGCAATGCTGCAAAGTAGCTTATAGTTACTCTAGCCAATTGTTACTTCTCAAAGAATTATACCACTCCAATGAAAAGAGAAAGCTACATAAATCTGTTAGATAACTCAAAGTCACTAAAAATATATATATATATTATCCAGAAAAGAAAAAAAATGCTCTTCATATATAGAGAGATATAGATATAGATATAGATATAGATATAGATATTTGTTCTTCCCTAGTTAATTCGAAAGCAAAAACAAGCATGCTACGACTTCTCTCTTCACAATGAAGCAAACATTTTCCTGTGGCTTTGGTATTTTTTGATAGTCTGAAAACACTATGCATATCATGTTTTTATTTATTTAAGACTAAACCAATGCATCCTTAGACTGTATCTGTGCAGCAGAAAAACACATTCCTTCTCAACTTTATGTATTTCCTCAACACTACAAAGGCCTACACATTTTTCCTAGATGATTCTGAGTTACATGCTAGATTTTATCTTCTTGTATTGTAAAAACATTAACTACAGAATTTTCTCATACTTACAAAATCATGTCTTGCCCCTTGGGAGGAAAAAAAATAGGAAGGGTAGACAGAAGGTGGAGAAGAGGCAGAGATGCAAAGTAGAAAGGAGGTAAAAAAGTAAGAGAAAGATTCAAAGTGGAAAGGACAGAGACGGACAGTTGCGAGTGTGCACAGAGAACATCACCTCTTTCATTTCCCATGGTGCACAGTTGAGCCCTCCACCGGCCCCCTTTGGTTAACAGCTTTTAAGGGAAACAAAGCACCAACGATGGCAGACCTATGGAACGAGTGCCGCAGCGGGACATTGGTTATCACTGAAAGCTCCAAAGGGCTCGCCATCACTGATAGGCTGCTCCAGTTCTCAATCACTGTCATCACTCTTCTCCGCGACAGAAGGACAGCACTCTCCGTCGTGGCCTCCTCCCTGCCTGAAGCCAACCATTTCATTAAGGAGACACAGACACCCACATTCCCTAGTGTGCATCCCGTCCCAGGAGTCAGTATGGTAACTGCTACTATCATGACCCAACTCCTGCTCCCAAATACGTTGGATCATATCACACTTTTGTCACACTCTCCCTCCACAAACTGAAACTTCACAAGTAAATTCCACTTGGTGCGATGGGTGAGCGAGCCTGCAAAAAGAACACCTGTGATAGCCCTGGAAGCCCACATATTAAAATACCTCCTGCTTCTCCACTGATGTGCCAGACCCACAAGCTAGATCATCCTCATTTCTTCCTGGACTCCCAGAGCTAATCTATTTCCTCCAAAGTGCCTGGAGCCAGCTCACAGTAACCTCGAACCTGATGCTTCTGTGGAACCCAGCCGTGTGTCGTGTGGCCGACAACACCCCAGCAACCTGTCCTTCTCCTCTATCACCCTGGCCCATCCACAAAAACGAAGGCAAATACCCAGATAAAACTGGAACGAATATCATTCCGGTAATTCAAATGTATTCATTTAACCACTATTTGTTGGAAGTCAATGGAGATGTCTGTACAGTAGCGAACTATGGACAAAACTGTCCTCTGTCTTCACAGAATGTATGTTCTAATTGTGTGAACTCAGAAACTAAAATTTAACTACATATAAAAAGGTGATCTCATTGTTCATTTGTTACCACAACAAGTAGAAGTATGGGAGCCTGTCTCTATTATGTAATGTAAAGGAAGTATCTGGAATGTCATCTCAAAAAATAAGACAAAGAGTATACAACCTATTGCCTTGCCTGGGGGAAGCACAGGATTTAAGAAATAAGCTATCCTGCAGTGCAGATTGCCTTAGTACACAATACCCAACACCTGCAACTAAAACAAAGAGAGGTTTGACTCACCGAAACTTGTAGATTTCAGTCCAGAGCTGCTACTCCAGGCAGGATGGCAAGGATCACAGTGGGGTGAGCTGCTCAGAAATGGAGAGCAGGAAGCAGAGAGCCAGGAACGACAAAGCCCAGCCATGCCCAGGTTACTGAGCAGACCCTGCCTCCCAACAGCAGGTTAACGATAAGCCTCATAATTCAGTTACCTTGCTAAAGTCTTACCTATAACTGCATGGGCCTTTGGGGAAATATCCAGATATAAACCATAACATTTCACTGCAGCCCAGAAAGATCCATCTGCATCTCTTTATGTAAAAAGCACTTAGTCCAGCTCTAAATTGCCAATGTGCCAACAGTTCCAACACTGCTGGGAAGTCCAAGTCTAAAGACTCCCGTGAGACTCAAAACAAATTCTTAGCTGTGAGCCCCTGTGGAACTCAAAATAATTAAGATAAAATAAAAACTGCTGACATACAAATGCATGGGTAAACATGAGCATTCCAAAAGGAAGGAACAGGGAGATAAAAACTAATGGGACCAAAGCAAGACGGAGATCTTGCTGGGCAAACATTATTTCAAGTAGTTTCACGTCCAGCACCTGGAACAAAATGTGGCAAGCTGTGTTCTCCAAGTGGCTTGGTTGTCCACACCGTACAGCACTGCAGGTGGTTGAAGCCCTCACAGTTTCTCTCGTAAACTGGCTCTGCTTAATCCTGTGGGGTTTTCTCAGATGGTCCACGTTCCTGGTTTCTGCAGCATCCCGGGGTCTCCACTGTATTTTCAGCTTCGCTCTCACAGCTAGCTTCACACACTGTGAGTTCCTGGCCTCCCACTACCTGGTCTCACGGGGTTTTTTGTTTGTTGGTTGGTTTGACGTGAAATCTGAGTGGAAGCCTTCCTGACCCCTCAACTCTTGTGTCTTGCACGCAGGTAAAACCAGTACCACATGGATGACGCCAAGGTCCTCCATCAGCTGGAGCAGTAAGCAGACCCTTTTGTATCTTGCTGTGGCTAAGCTGCCTTTCCCTAACAGAGTGCCCCTGGACTCTCTTCTCAAAGCAGTCTTTCACTTTCGTAAGCCAAAGAGTTGGTTTTGCTCTTCCCTGACACACATTTTGGCCATTTCTTCCTATCCTCCTGCTGCAACATAGCTGGCTTCTTTTAATGCTAATGTTTCAGCAACCAAACTCTCTTTGACTTTAACTATGCAGGGCCCCAACTTTATGGGAGCTTTTTCTGTGCAGTTTGCTTTTGATTTTCAGGATAAAGCTGGCTAAAGGCCACCAACAGTACCCATGCCACAACCTGAATGTTGAACTGCCTTGATATATCTTCCAGCACATTAATTGGGCTGCTGCCCTCAGTCTCCTGCAAAGTCTTAGGACATGAGCAAAAATGTAGAAAAACCTTGTCAGAGCATAATGCACATGGTCTGGAGTCAAAGTGCCACTGAAGTTCTTGTTCCCAACTGGATCCTCCTGAGTCTGATGTTTACAGTCTGCATTTCAAACAGCATTCTCCTCTTCTAAGGTGCAATCAGAATTTCCCGTTAAAATCAGCTCCTACATTCTAGGGGCTGCTTCTCCAGATGGCATCTCCAATGCTCCATAATCCAATCACCTCTCAAAGGTCCCATCTGTGTGCACAGACTTTGGGGGGGAATATCTGAATATAAACCCTAACTCAGAGGAAGCTAAAGCACAGAAAACAGCCCGTGTATGTTCAGAGAAGAGAGAGAAGCAAATGCAACGAAGATGACCATGATGATCATGATGATCACAATGATGGAAAGAGAAAAGAGAAGCTCATTCAGATGCAGTAATGGATGATCAAGCAGTTAACACAGGCACATGCATCCTTAATACTCAGACATAAGCAAGCATAACCTTGTTTTTTGTCTTGAAATTCCATACAACATCATAACTCCGATCTCTCTAGGGAATATATTTTTGCCTTCTGTGGTGTAAATGTTTTGTTTGTTTTGTTTCTCCTGGCCAAATCACAGTCACTCTGCAATATAAAACTTCTAACCAAGACCCTGCTTTTCTCTTCAGCCTCTCCTGCATCCCCTTTCACTCTGTCATCTTTGCTTCCTTAGTTGCTCTGGCTGCTGAAAGTGCTGCTGAAATTGCCTCACCTGATGGGTATTCTTCAATAGAGCAGGAAGAATGGACCGCGGGTCTTGATCATTTCTTTCCCTGTTGGACTCTGCCTTTCCCATCATTTGATCTGACCCTAGCATTGATATGGAGTTCACCTATTAAATTAACTTTCTGATTATTTGTTCTCTCTGGGTTTGCCCAGCTCTTTCCTGCAGCACCTTAGTCATCTCTACAACCCCATGAAACAGTCTTTTCATGCTCTTCTGACTCTCCTGGCACAGTGTTGCTTCTTTAGCCTCCTCTTAGCTTGCAGTCTCTGCATGTCCCACAACACAAGCGGCAGATTGCTGGTGGACCAGCTACACTTGCTGTTTCCTTCTCAGGCCTGGACTCTGCTGTGCCTCCTTCCAAGGCCAGGTGAGGCCCACGAGACACCTGCATGTCCTTACCATCCCTTCTTGGATGTTCTTCCCTCTCTCAACTCCCTGTTCCTAAACTACATTCACCCCAGGAAAAATCTTCAGAGATTCCAGTCCAGCAAACAAACTTGTAAAAAGATCTAAACTATTATCCATTCAAGGATTACCATCCTCCTTTTAGTAAGCACTGGCAGTCCCCAAGAATTTTATGCCTCCTCATAAACAACTTCACCACCAGGAATATTTCACAATGAAAAATGGCAGAAATAAAATTCTGCAACATAAGAAAATATGTATTTTTTCCCAGCAGGAAGAAGCAGTCATACAACCTGCTCTTAGAAGCTCTCTGAGGACCCTGACCCATCATTTAACTCACTAAAAAAAGCCCCTTGCAGGGGAGAAAAGCTCTAAGGCAAATGAAATAGCATCCCAATAGATCTGAAAGTAAACTCTAGAACAGCTCTTTATTAAGGGAAGAAGACAAGGAAATATATTTCAACATGGAGTTCCATACCAGCACACAGTTAGTGAGCCAGAGGTTCCTAGGCAGTATTTCTGGCTAGCTGCCTATCATAGAAGCAGTTGTTTTGACAATGAAAATATTCCTAATATGTTTTGTGCTAATTAAACCATGAAGATGCTGTCAACAGTAATTTTTGAAAGCTTGTCCCAGCTACCTTTGGAACTTGAATCATAAACTGGAGTCCTTTGACAACTATATGAACATCCTATATGTGGAGGTCAAAATTAAATGACATGAAGCGTGTGTGTGTGTGTGTGTGTGTGTGTGTGTGTGTGAATCACATGGTCTATTTTGTAGCATATCAATATGAATTACAGGCAATGTCAGAATTCTATTTTAATCCTCTTCCTTGAAGAAAGCCTTAAACTTTCATGGCATGTATGCTCTGCATATCTCTCCCAAGAGAGACAGAAACGAGGAAGGTGAAAGGATAAGGTGACCATGCACCACAGCTGTTCTCTTTCCATGTAACAGTCTACCTGACAGCTCCTAGCCTAGAGATAGAGCATTCCAAATTAGCCAGGTTTCACTAGAACTGGATGCTGGGGGCCTAGCATCAGGTTGAATACACTGCTTGCATTTTAAAACTTCCACTTTCTAATGCGAATTCTCTCCAAAGGCATCCCTACACAATCATAACATTGAGAAGAAACCCAAGTTCCAGGGAATCAGCAAGTGACTTAGACCGATCCCCCTCGCCATATAACAGAAATGCAAATTCCAACACAGCTAGGCAACAGGGATTTTTCTGGTACTGATTTGCAAAAGAGCTGTCAGTGCATGAGCACAGGGAGGAGGATGATCAAGTAGGCATCGATAAGAACTGATTTATTTATTCATCTATAATAAATGATTCTCTTGAGCAGCACAGGGGGAGGTCAAGTAGCTGTAAAGGAGACAGAAAATAAAACAGTAGCAGCATACATTAAGCCCACTGCACAGAAACTGAAGGTTTGTAATGTATCTTTTAAACAATTTCAATACTAGGTCCGATACAAGCAACAGAACACAAGCTATAAAATTCAATATAACACAAGTGCGTGAAGAAGGATTAGGCAAGATCACTGCCCCTGGTCAGCTCCCAAAGCTGCCACAAACTGGACACATCCAAATGGGCCCAGATCGTCACGACTGCCCCAGCCGCTCTTCTCTCCACACCTCTCACCTTGCAAATGTTGTCGTCTCTTGAAAAACACCACTTATTTCCCTTTCACTCAGCTCTCCGTCCTGTCACCACCTCTTGTGGATTTTGTTTTCAAAAAAAAGGGCTAGAATCTATTTCATCTTCTCCATTCCTACTGTCAGACTAAAATCCCTGTGGCTGGAGTCCTGGAAGGGTTCTCCTTCCTGGCAGTTTTCCCCATTCCTTGCTCTACTGGCCCTCAATTAAACCACATAAATGCAAATCTCAATGCTGCCGCATTGAGGGATCTATTAATGATCCCTCAAATATCCCCTGAAATTTTCGGGATGAATTTTACAACCCCACATAATTTTCTCTCTATACACACCTTAAATTCAATTCTAGTCAAGGACTCTGATGCATATCCATTGCTGTCAACAGCTCCCATCTATCATCAGACTCAATTTTCTCAGGGACCACAAAGCTGCTGCAAAGCATCTACAAATCCAAACGTATCCTAAATTATCATCTGAACACTAGAATGTCTCACAAAAAGACACAATTATTCAAAGGTATACAAAGGTACCCTTTAAGGTAGCAAAGGCAGTTAAATGCGATAATTCCAAATTCTAACAAACACAACTGATTTCCAAAATAATGTTTCCTGGAAGAAAAAGCAGACAATGCTGCTAAGGGAGAGGTTTAAAAACCGAAAAAGGGAGAGGTTTCCAAGAAGCTGTCTCAAAGCTCTTGGGAAATCAGGAGAAGAAAGCGTTTTCAAATCCCTTGGATAGTTTTTCCTTCCATCCACTTATCTTTACAATCCACATTTTCTTTTTAATTAGACACAAGTCATCTACTACTAGCTATGTTTTTTTCTATTCTCCTTTACTGGCTGGAAATAAGAGGCAATGAAGCCTCCAAAAGTTTTAATTATTATTTATTTCATGAGAACAGCTACACTAAAAGGACCCAAGGAATTTCTAGCCTCTTGGCCAGGATTAACTGCCAGCCATCTAAATCACATACCAAAGGGAGACAGAGTAAGTATCCATATCCGCTGATGTCTAC